CCCCCTGGGGGGGGGGGTGATTTTCACTTTCTGTCTCTCCGTCTGTGTCTTTCTGATGAGCACATGCGCCCTATAGCTAAAACCTCTCAAAAAAAAGGGGGGGGGCATTTTATTTGGACATAGCACCTTTACAGAGATGATCAAGTTAAATGAGATCACTATGGTGGCTTGAATCTTCTATGGCTGATGTCCTTATAAAAAGGGGATTTGGACACAGAGATATGCATGAGAGAAAGATGATGTGAAGACAAACGGAGAAGATGGAACAGGCTACAGAGAGAAGCCTGGAACAGATTCAGACCAGCGATCAGAAGGACCCAATCCTGCCAACATTTTCCATGTCCAGAATTTGAGTATAAACAGCCTACACAGGGCAACAATGTGTGGCCCTAATATATTCCATCAATGACAGTACTCATCCAACTGCCTTCTATGCCCCAATGATCAACGTGATACGCTCAGTCAAACAGATCTAGCATATTGGGCAATTTTGGAACTATAACAACTAGTTACGGAGTGATTATGTGTCCCCAGATTCAAACCATATTGCTGCTGAGAAATCTGGCAATGTCCTTCTGAGAGTATCCACTGGAGTTTGAAGTAACAAAGCTATTGTGCATATGCGGTAGTTTTTCATGCTTTCTTATACTCACCATCCTTCCCTCAAAATAAAATTACTGCAATTCCATAAATGAACTAAACTTTTACAGTGAGGTTATAAATAAGAAGCAAAACTGGGGGCCAGCAGATGGCTTAGTGGTTACTTCACTAGACTCCCATATGATTGACCACAGTTCGAGTCCCAGACCTGGTGGCTTGAAACTTGTGCTGGGTGTGTAAGTGCATGCTCCCAAGATCCCAGGAGGAGAATGGAGAAGGGACTGTGGTGTGGTCATCCCTCCTGGGGGGTAATTTCTCACTTTTTCTCTCACTGTCTCTCTCTCTCTCTCTCTTTTTGTCTCTCTCTCGTGAGAGCAGATGATCTAAAGCAAAACCCTCTGAAGAAAAAAAAAAATCCCCAAGACGAAATTATAATTAATGTGTAAAAATCATAGCATTTCATTGTTTGTTCAGGGAGAGGTTTATGCAGGCTCCTAGAAGAGGACACAGATTTTTGATTGCTACATCAAAGCAATCTAATGATTAATGAAGAGTTTTATACTAACAGTGAAACTACTTAATAAAATATTCAATTAAAAAATTTAAGGATGACTCATGCCTAGCAAGAATTAGGTCTTCTTTCATTTCTTCTGCTTGCAGGTCTCAAATACTCGAAGATGTTTCCACAAGAGCAAACATGTCAGATAAAAGCATGTCATCATGCCTCTCTGATGAGTCAGAGGCCGTTCCTCCTCCACAGAGTAAAATCACAGCAGTCTGGGGGCTTTTAGCACTCAGTTCCAAACTTAAGACGCTAGCAGCTAGAGAAATTCTTGACTGTAAATCATACCTTATCTTCAAGAAAGAAACACAGCTATTGAGCAAGCAACACAGATATAACCACGTAGGCTTTGAAACACACACCCAATGTTCTCCTACCCATGCAAAGAATTATTTCTGCAACTTCATGGTGAAAGCCTTTCATGTTTATTATTATTACTAAATCATTGGGCTAACAGAGATTTCCAGAAGTTTCCCATTGTGCTTACAACTAGGACAAACAGATCTACTATAACTTGGAGACAAACCAGCTGACTTCTACAGTCAAGGGCACCATGCTGGCTATGCAGGTTGTGTCCTGCACAAAGAGCCTCACCCTGAGGATTAGACACTGAAATCCAGCCAGTTCCAGCTTGGGGGCTACATTTACATAAAGGTTTCTAATTTGCACGAAGCTCACTAAGAACTAGCAGAGACTCTCAATATGAAGTTTTCAAAAGGCAATAAAAAGGGCCACTTATCAACATTAATCTTTTTTAAATATGTCACTTCAGAATGTCACATTAATCCTCTTCTCTAAGGATATCTTGAGGATGTCAATCTAAAATTACCTTATTGAAAGGCAGCATATTTTTAAAGAATTATTTTATTTAATTTTATTAACTATTACCATTTTTTAAATTTCACCAGAGACAGAGAGAGAAGGAAAGCAAGAAAGCAAGTCACTCAGGTCTGGGACTCAAACCACAGTCAGTCATGTTCACTTCTATAACTAAAGGTGCTTACAACTGCTGCACTCCAGCACCTTAACCATCACATATGCCAGCCCCGAGGGCACAATTTTAAGCACTAGAAGTGAAAAGAAGTTCACAGAAGTTCCAGAAGTGAAACCAGTCAGTATGTTGGAGTGGAAAAAACAAAGGAATAAAGGCTCCAAATGAGGCTGGGCCAGGTGGTGCAGGACCCAGGGAGACCACAGAGAGAATTCTACAAAGAGAGGGACAACATTAAACTGTCATAAGCCAGGAGTGACTTGCTAGGACATGTGTTTCTAAAAAAGTCCTCTGGCTCCTATACGGATCATGAATCTGAAGGAAGCCAGAGAGGGAAGGTCCAGCTGAAAGTTGGTTGCTTGGACAAAGTGGAGGCAGTGAAATGGAGAGAAGTGAACAGATCCAAGCTATGTTAGGAGACGGAATTAGTGGGACTTGGGGAATGACTAGATGCAGTCAAGAGTGAAAGAAGAAATGATGTCTAGACTACAGCACCAAATAAATGAGCAGATGATGTTGCCTATAAAGAATGCTGGAGGAGGAACAGGTTTTGGGGGTCAATGTCATGAGTTCCGTTTAGAGCTGATACTTTTATGAAGCTGTGGGGTAATATGCCTTTTGGTAAATGCTGCTACTAAAATATGATACAATCTACTTACTTATCCACCTTTGTATCAAAATCTGAGAAATGCAATTTTGATGAGACTTTTGGAAGAACTATGTCTAAATACTAAATACAGGGTTTGTAATTCTCATATTATAATCCATGGCCACATTTCTGTCTCCACTCCCAGAGTGTTTTGGTTAGACCAGTTGTTCTAAGAGCAAAAAAAAAAACCTCAAGAGTTTTTCCATGTGGTAGGAGTTCAAGGTCATATAACACCTTGACAATCATCCTTCTTCCTATCCTTGCCCCCACAATTTGTTCTCATCATCATTTCATCATGGGTTTCTAATAAATGAAGACGTGAAATTCATTAAGAGCAGTGGGTCTCAAAGTGTGGTCCCCAGACCATGGATCAAGTGAGCATAACTTGGGAACTTGTTAAAAATGCAGATTTTTAGCTTCACTACAGACCCACTGAGGGGGAATCCAGAAAACGAAGGCTGGGCAAGTTCTCCAGGCAATGCTCCTGCACACTAAGTCTAGGAACCACTGAAAATGATCAGTGGTGGGTATCAGTTGGATATCCTTTATTACTGCTTCTGAATTGTCATTTTTTTTTTCTTATTAAAATTTCCTTGATGCTTCAAAACTGTGGTCAGTATCTAAGTAAAGGCCCTTTCCAGGTAACACCATCTTCCCTTTTGGGATGCACACTTTCATTCATATGAACCTCACCTACACTCTCAGTCAATTGCTGGTGGGAATGCTCTCCCCCTCTGAGTTCATCATACACCCATTACTGTAAATTATATTAGTGACAGGAATCTTGTCTTTATGGATTCATCACAGTATCTAATATACAGTACACAGAAACCCCAATTAAAAAGTCTAACTGGTTGTTCTAGATCAGTGCTTTTCCATGTGGGGTCAGCAGGTATAAAAATCACCTGAAATGTGTGTTTAGAGTACATATTCAAGGTCCTAATCCTAGTCTATTAAATCAGAAAGTCCTTGGAATGGAGCCCAGGGTTTGCATTTTCAATGTACACTGAAATCCAATTATCACTGCTGTAAATGAAAGTAATCTTGATGAGAACTACACACCTGGATTAATTTCTTTTTTTTTTTTCTTTTTTTGGGGGGTGGTGGTGGGGTGAGGGGTTGTCATAGAGTGTGTGCACTCCCCAGAGAGAAAGAAAGAGACAGTGAGAGGGAAAGTAAAAAATCAACTCCCAAGGGGGATGGCCATGCCACAATCCCTTCTCCATTCTACTCCTAAGATTTTGGGCATGCATGCACATGCGCCCAGCATAATTTTCAAGTCGCCGGGTTAAGTACTTAAACCATGGTTGGCCATGTGGGAATCCAGCAATTTAACCACCATCGCACCTCCTGGCTCCAGATTAATTTGATCACAGGACTAAGCTAAATGAAGGCAAAACAAATGAAAAGGAACTTACCTTATTCTTAACCTGTGGTCCACTTCTTAAACATACAGTGCAAGCTGTAAAGTTTTAAAACAATAATATCACTCAGTGCTCTCAGATTTAGTCTATGAACATTGAGGGGGTAATTAATTTTCTTTTCAGCTGAGTCTTCCCCAGTCTAAATGTATGGAACTGATTTTTCCCACCTTTTCTATCTTTATTTTCAACCCAGATAACTGGGCTTTAAGAACATTTTTTATAACATTCTTTGGCTTATTTCTCCTATTTACTCATTTGTAAATCATCCATGTTTATTAACCTCAACAAAATTCAAATATGGACTTTCAGGTATAAAAACAAAACACCAAGGGAACCAGCAGTTAGCATAATGGCTATGTCGCTGGACTCCCACGTAGTCGACCGCAGTTCGTGTCCTGGACCCGGTGGCTTAAAACTCACGCCGGGCGCGTGTGCGTGCGTGCCCAAGATCCCGAGAGGAGAATGGAGGAGAAGGGATTGCGGCGTGACCATCCCTCCTGGGGGGTGATTTCTCGCTTTCTGTCTCTATGTCTCTCTCTGTCTGTCTGGCGAACGCACGCGCCCTACAGTGAAAATCTCTCCAAAAAAAAAAAAAATGAAACACCAAAACAACTATCAAATAGCAAACAACATTATTTATAACTAGTGACTCATTGTTCTAGAACCAAAAAAATAGTTCTTGCCTTTAAATATAAAAAGTTAAACTTATTCCTCCCATTACCAACTGCCCTGCATCCTCCTGCTACCACATGAACACATGAGCCCGTGTCCCCTCACACCATAAAAATGCCTGCAGACAGACAGATCCAGCCAAAATAGATACCAGAAGCCGTGGTATCTAACAGAAGCAGAAAGGAGTCAAAACACAAGTGATTTTTAAAATACTGTTGCAAGAGTAGTAGCTATAAAACAAAAGAATAAATGACATAGATTTTCCTAAAAGCACTGGGTTTCAAAACAATATGTGCTCATCATTACCTTGCCAAGCACATGCAAATCCTTTTTGAAAAACTGCACTAAAATTTTACCAGCGATTTCTAAACTAAGGTGTAATGGAAAAAGAGACACACAAACACTCTTGAAATCTATGAAAATGACCAGCCTTGGGCAGTTCTAATGTATGCTATTAACTTTTGTTTTTGACATTTGATAATGGAATTGTCAAATTCCACTTCTGAGATTAATTTAACTTTCATATATGTTCATGGAAGGAATATATATTGGCTCCTTCTGGCTAGCAAGAAAATACTTTTAATCAAGATATAATTTACATACAGCAAAAGTCATGCTTTGATGCGTAAAGTTCAATGATTTTGACAAATGTGTGCAGCCATGTAACCACTACATAAACTGGGTTGAAATATGTTGTCACATAGCTACTGAGCCCTTAAAATGTGGCCAACCAGGAGTAGCAGGTGGTGTGGTGGTTAAGGCACTGGATTCCCACATAGCCGCATAGCTCACTAAGGTTCAAGTCACAGGCCTAGAGGCTTGAAAATCACACCAGGTTCAAGTCACAGGCCTAGAGGCTTGAAAATGACACCAGGAGAGAGACACAGAGAGAGAGAGAGAGAGAGAGAGAGAGAGAGAGAGACATGCGCACATGTCAAAAACCCCAGGAGAGGAATGGTGAAAAAGGGATTGCTGCATGGGGGTGCTTTCTCACTTTCCCTTTCACTGTCTTTGGCGAGCACATGTGCCCTACAGTAAAAACTTAGAAAGTGCCACTCCAAGATTAGATGTTCTCGAAGTGTAAAATATACATCAGACTTCAAAGACTTGGCTATAAAATAAAATGTAAAGGATCTTAAAAGCAATTTTAAATTGATTACATGGCAAAATTAAAATAGTTTGTGTATGTTGGCTTAGACAAAATTAATTTTGCCTGTGTTTTTTTCCTTTTGTTAATGCAACTATCAGGAAATGAAAAGTTCAAAGAGCTCACACTGGAAACTCAGATGACCTTTCTATTGGATAGTGATGATGTGGAATATTTCTATCCTCCAACACTGCCCTCTTGCCCCTTCACAGCTGGTATCATTTCCCCACTCTCCACCCTCAGCTCATGGCACCTAGTGAATTAATTTATAAAAATTTTGCTTTTAATAGGTTTTTACAAATATTTCCTTTTTTCTTTTTCTTGTCTTGTAGTTTCTAATTTTCCATCATTTCACATGTTTTATTCTTATTTATTTTTCTTTCTTTCCTTCTTTTTCTTTTTTGCTAGAGTACACCTAGAGTGCTTGCCAAAGAGATAGAGACAAAGATAAAGGAAGAGGGAGAATGCACCCTCCATGTGGGTTAATCATGCCTCAATCCCTTCTCCATTTCTCCTCCTTGGATTTTACAAGTCGCTGGGGCTGAGATTCAAATTGCTTGGTTGGCCATGTGGGACCTGATTCCCTCAACCACCAGTCTACAGGGCTGGCCTTTGTTTTTATAATTTTTAAAAAGATCTTTACAATATTTTTTTTTGGGGGGGAAGAGGTTTTTGCTATGGGGTACGTATGCTTGCCAGAAAGACAGAGAGAGACAGAGACAGAAAGCGAGAAATCATCCCCCAGGGGGATGACAACACTGCAATCCCTTCTTCTCCATTCTCCTCTCGGGACCCTGGACACACACGCACACACGCCCAGCATGAGTTTAAGCCACCGGGTCTGGGATTCAAACTGCGGTTGACTACATAGGAGTCCAGCAATGTAGCCATTATGCCAACTGTTGGTCCTAATCTTCACAAGATTTTTAAAAAGTCTTATCTACAGTTAACCAATGTTATTTTAAGTAGCCAACTCTCAAGCTGGTAGGTCACCACAGAAGCAGTTTAAGTAAGGAACTTCCTTCCAAGAAGTGACAAGCACAAGTGGTTCATAACTCAATGGAGACCTTGTGCACACACACACACAACAGCATCTATTCACAGAGGTGGAGAACCTCCCAGACCTTAATTTTAGTAAGCCCCAGGAAAGGGTGGAGAAAGTTTTCTCTGTGCTAAGGATAGGCTGGGCAGAAATGTAAAGCACTGACTTGGTAAATCGTTTCCAGGTGGGGTGGGGAGCAGAAAGATTTTCCAGAATATAGGAAAAACTGCAGGCTACCTTTGACCCCCATTTTCTCCTATTAAGTTGGTATAGGAGCTGGCTGTCAGCCTGCCTGCTGCTGAGCCCCTGGCGTCCTCCTCAATCAACCCTGGAAATTTCCACTCCTCATTTCTATCTTTGCCCCTTCCTCTTATTCTCAGTGGAGAACTAGAACAAAGTTCTGCATTTTGAGCATTTTACTACTGGTCCTTTAGAGAAATGTAGAAAATACTTATTCTGCTCTTTGGTCTGTGGTTACTTGTTTCCTCTGAAGTAACTAAGAGCACACAAGAGATTCATATCCTTCTTACCAACTTTTTTGTGTGTGGAAAACTCTTTGCACAAAGAGGACTATCTACTCAACTGAGCATGGTCCCAAAGGGAGAACAGCTGTTGGCCTCAGACAATTTCTGTCTACAGCTTAGATTAGATGACACTCATCTCACCAGACCTATCCAACAAGATCCCTTCCAGCCAACAGGATAATGTACTAGAAATGGACAAGCCTCCAGTGTAGCTCTCATGCAAGTAATACCCTAGGAAAGGATGCTAACTAGTGGTTCCTTAGCCAGGACCGCCAGAAGCCAGGAGGGGTTTGTTAATCAGGCATGTTCCTGGCAGACACTGCCTCAAACTACATGTGTCCATTCACCTTGCTCTCAATGAGGTTCCAGTACACTCAGGAAACAGTCAGATAAGAACATAAACACAAGTAGGCATATTAAATGTGCACATGATCTTAACATGCAATCAGAGTTGAAAATGGGTCTACAGCCTCTCCTGATATGGATTCAGCTATGAAATATTGGTTTCCTTGACCAAAAGTAAAGATTTTCTGCCGAGATTTCCCCCTCCAGACTCATTTCTAGTGGGAAAGGAACCAGCTAAGCCAGGCCTATCCTGATATGGATACTGTTCTTCAGCTGTGAAATATTGGTTTCCTTGACCGAAAATGAAGATTTTCTGCTGAGACTTCCCCCCTCTAGACTCATTTCTAGTGGTTAGGAATAGCTCTGTGTCTCTTTCTCTCCATTTCTGTCTCTGTCTTGCTATGTCTCCCTATGGCTTTTAAATTTTTTTTTTTTAAGATAAAGTATTCTCAGATAGCAAGTGAACAATAGAGAGGATGTTAGTGAGAAACAGATATGGTTTATTATCTGTTGATGATGTGTATAGTATTCTCAACTGGACTGGTCTGGGAAGTATTTCATGATGGGTGAAGTCTTTTAACAAGCAATATGAGAAATAGTGATTGACTGTTTTAAAAAATTATAATAATAATAATTATTGGGAAATGCATGGAAAAGAC